ATTTTTTTTTAGTATTGGTGAAGCTTTATTTTCTCTGTTTCATTTTTTTTAAATCTATTTTAGGGATCAGTGAAAGTAATATGTATGGAATATTTACAGATTTCTAGAAATAAACCAGGACTGTTGAATTAAAAATTTTTTTTTTGCAAAGCAGTATTGTATCTTCATTTTCATTATAAGGTGAAAATGCAGTTGTTTTGTTTAAAATTCACATTGAACAACATTTATATTTTTCAGGCTGTTAGAATCTGCTTGGGGCTTGGGTTAGAAAGGCCATTTGATTATTTGTTAGAAGATTACCTTTTGTCTAAATATTGCAGAGAAGATCTAATATTTATTTTTTCAGAAGAAGTAATGAATGCTGAGTTGCTCATCATGAGGCTGGGGCTTTCTTATATTGCTGGCTGCCCATCTGGTGCGCTCGCTCTACTTGTCCCTTCTGGATCTCTGGCTTAATATGACATCGTATCAGACTTTAATTATGAATTAATTTATTTGCAGAGCTGATTAAAAAATTTCAGATGGTTATGTTTGTCCAAATACAAATTTCATTGACTGCAAGTTGAAGCTTGATTATTTCTTGGCCACATGAATGCATATAATAAAGCAAAACTTGTTTGCATTTTGAATTGTAGGAAAATTCTGAAGGCAGGTAAAATACTTCGTGGTATTTTTCCAGGCCTTAACTCTCATCACTTTACTCTTTTAATTCTGGTTTGTCTGCATACTCACAGTTTGTTCTTTGAAATAGGTATGCTCAACCCTTTAATTTTACCTTTCTTCAACACATACACACGTACACACACACACACACACAAAAAAAAAACAAAAAAACAAAAAAACTATGGCATAGTTCCTGAATTTTGCCTTCTTTCCCTGTCTCCCCCTTGCTCCCCCCCTGTCTTTTTTTTTTTTTTTAAATCAGTGGCAAGGTAGGTTAGGCTTGGTTAGATAGCCATGTGGAACTTTGTTATTTGGATAGCCAGTTGGGTACTTTATATTGACACTGGAATAATGGGGAGAAAAGGGGCCAGGGGATTTCAGGAAAATGGTCACAGGATGTGATAAGTTATTTCTGTTTCCCACAAAAAGGAACCAGAGCTCCATGGAGAAATGGCTGATTCTAGGTCTGGGGCTGGAAATATTCAGGACATCTTGTCATAACAGAAAGCCAGAAAGGTATCAAACATCACTGGGCAGTCAACTTGAAGAGGTTCCCACTGAACAAACTGTCCATCCAATGATCCAATGGGATAGTTTGGGCAGAAAAAAAAATGTAATTGTGGGTTGAAACACATCAAACATGTTAAAGTCTGTGAGTTCACATATCAAAACCAAAAACAGCAGCAGCAGTAACAACAACAAAACACCTTAGTGGTTATCTTTGGAAGAATGCCACGGAACCAGCTTATTCTGAGGGCAGTGAAAAAGAAATCAAACATTTGCCTTTCAAGACTTTCTTGGATAACCAAATAGTTTATATAGAGAAGTTTTTCTTTATAGTTTTTTCTGTATTTATTTTCTCTATAATAAATGAAAATTAGAGTATCACCATTTCACAGCCTGTAATAAAATAGTAATAGATCTAGGCAATAATCATCAGCAACTGTCACAGCCAGTAGGTGAGACTGATAGCACCTGAACCTACAGATCAATTTTAACATTATAGAAAGAGGAACCCACCAGACACTGCCTCCTGATGCGATGCAGTGGTGTCACCTGTCAAATTTCCTTGTTAAAACTTCAAATGTGAATCTGACCAAGCCTGTACATCGACTAATTTATAGGAAATACAGGGTGCAGAGGAATATTTTCAAAGACACCTTGGGAGGATGCAGTCTGTAAAGTCGAGTGGAAGAAGTTTTACAGGACAAGTATCTTGGTTTCTTCAACAAATAAATGAAAATGGCTTAGGAAACCTAGGAATTAAAAGAGACACATTACAATGTGGGCATCTTGTTTATATTGATCCTAATTCTAACCAACCAAGTGTAAAACAAACAAGCAAAACCTACCGAACAAAAGGGAATACTTGAGCACTGGATATTTGATACTAACAATTTACTGTTAATTTTTCTTAAGGTTGATAATGATGTTGTGGTTTTGTTTTAGACCATATATGGAAATATTGACATCTGGAATTTATTTTAAAATCCAGGTTGAGGAGTTGTGGGTGGGTATATAGGTAACACTAGATGGGACTTACGTTGATAATTGAATGTGGACAATGGGCACATGGTATCATTTTACTATTCTACTTTTTTGTTGAAAATTTGATGTTTTTTAAAAAAGGTCATATATGTTGATGCTTTGGTCTTATCTGAATTTCATAAAATTCAATTTTTTTTTTTTTTTTTTTATTTT